GGAACATCCAGTCTGGAAGCTGACTTGCTGATCAGTCCACATGAGCTCCTGGGGCTGCTGGAAGCCAGGTTTTCCTTGTTGAAGGACTTCTTGCCTCTTAAAGGGCTCCAGTGGCAATGTTCCTGTTCTCAGAGTCCCGCAGCCACAGAGGCTGGGCTCAGGGTCGTCCCTGAACATGCGCAGGGCTGTCGCTGTAAAATAATTCCAGGTTTGCTCAATCTACCTGTTTGAGGAGGAAAACCAGCTTGAGCTGGTCAGAGTTCTACCTGCTTTTTCTTTGTGCCTTCCTCAGTCCTGAGGAAGCAGGGCACCCACAGCTGGCTGCTTCCTGCTGATCAGGAGCAAGGATTTTTATAAGAGGAATGAAATTGTTTTGCATGTATTTGCAGATATTCACGAGTCCCACCTTGAACTCTGAAGTCTCAGGCAATCATCAAGTGAGTGGAGGAGGCCTTTTTAAATATATGGGACAGACATTAAGCATGAAACGTGATGGGTGAGAGGGTTAAGCCTAAGATGCACAGAACAGTGCCTCCTAATTTTAACAGGGGCGCTCTGAGAAGGTGTGTTTGTTTTAAACACTTATTCCATTCAAGATACACCGACAAGATATCTGCATAGTTTGCAGTATTATAAAAGTAAGATTTTAATTTTCAAAACAAAAATTATTCAACTATATAGAGCCTATGTAATTACAGACAACTGTAAAGTAAGTCTCTCTTTCCCTTAACCCATCAGTCCCTTTCCCAGGAGGCATCTACTAGTTCCTGTTGTTCTTTCTGGAGTTTCTCTGTGCTTTTACAAATATAAACAGAAACACTGCAATTATGCACAGACATACATGCACAATGTGAGTAGATGTTTATTTATTCGACTACAAATACGTGGAGTGAGGATACCAATTTTTTTTTTTTTTGGTGTGAAAGCCATCTTCATGAGGCAATTTAGTAGTCAAATGTCTATTTGGCCATTTCAGTTTTAGGAATTTCTCCTAAAGAAATATGATTTAGCTCAAGGACATGCATCTTCTACTTGTTATTTAAAAGTAACTCAGATTATAGATTTTCTAAATATGTCTGTCATAGCAGAAGGAGGCGTGGAAAATAAATCCTATCCATATACTGGAAAACAATGAAAACTTTTATAACGTGTGGTAGAACTGTGTTTATTGATTTGGGATGATCACTTCACCATGCTTGTGAAAAATAATAGAGCCTGGATTTTTGTTGGTTTGTTTATGTCTATCTCTGTTAGTATAAGATCTTTAAGGACATAGCTCTCTCCTGAATTACCTCCCAGCACTCAGTACAGTGCCAGGCGTGTAGTCATTACAAAGTAAACACTTCTTCTTTGTTAAATCTGAACAAATACATCTGTGCATGTGTGCGAATGACAAATGATTTCACTTCAAATGTTAACGTTATTATCTGGGTACTGGGATAGTGGATAACTTATCTTTTCCCTTAAGTAGTATTTCTGAGTTTTCTATAACGAGCGTGTACTAGTTGTATAACACAGTAAGTGAAGAAGGTCTGTGCTCAAAAATCAAGACCCACAGCTCTGTAACATGCTTTTCCTTCTGGATGGACAAGTCTGAAAACAGAGACCCTGGGGATTACTGATCTGAGGATGGGAAGCCTGGGCAGAGACAAGCAGATCGTCTCCCTGAGTTGTGTGGGGTCTGGGGACCTGGGCAGGCCTGGATGCCATTAGCTTGTTCCCCACGCTGGAGAGCAGATTATACCACACCCCTTCCTGACACACTGCTCCCCGGCCCCACAGTCCTGGTTCCTTTGGCAGTTTCCTAACATCAGAAAATACTCCGTGAGCATACAGAAACCTTCAATGTGGGTATCTGGAAGCTACCATCCTCATGGTAGAGATGAGACAGTGGGCCCACTTGCAGGTGGTATATATCACACAGTGTAGTGGAGAATGAAACAGGACATAATATTGAAAAAAAAAAGTATACTTTAGCACATTCATAGTGGAAACTGAAATCACGTTTACCCAGCAATTAATGGTGATTATTCAAAGGAGATGGAACTGGAGGCAGATTCAGCACTTTTTCTTTCATCTATGACATTTTAACTTTAGCAAAAAATGCGTAACTTTAATCAACAAAAAACATCAAATTAGAAATAAAGAAAATTCAGAGACATAAACTTTCGCTTTGTGGCCAAAGCTGTCGAACAGCTGGAAAACAAAAGGAACAGAAGGATTTTCATCCTCAGGGAGCAATTCCTGTGTGTGACAGCTGCACACACACAAAAAGCGTGGCGGAGATGTATGTGATTCCCGTTTAAGAAGTGAGGAAGCCAGAACTCGGGGAACGTAACGGGCTTGCCCACAGTTTGGGCTTGTGAGTGGCGGTGCGGGGACCGGAACCCGGGAGGACCTGGCCCCGAAGTCCATATTGAACACCGACTTTTTCCACGATTCCCCAACAGATACAGATACTCTCGTGGACTCTCAGGTTGGTTCTGCTGGGGCCTTATATGCCTGAGGGTCCAAAGTGTCTTCTGGGAGGCACAATGACTGGGCTACTGCTGGGGTGGGGAGGTTAATGGTAGGTGTGCTCAGAGCAGAAACCCTTCAGCTTTTGAGGAATCATGGCCACCCGTGACCTCCCAGGTGCTGGCTGCAGTCCACTGTGACCTTTTCCATGCTTACCAGTACTGCATCTGCAAAGATGGCTCTCCCATCCTGGATGTGCAGGGTGGCATTCTACCCTCCATGGTTCCCAGTTAGAGCCTCTCTCATCAGGAAAATGGTGCTGTTTCTCAGCCTCCCAAGCCCCGGTGTCTCCTGCGATCTCTTGCTGTTTGTGACACCATCCCAGATGCAGCCAATACCAGGGTTTCCCAGGGGCTCGAGTCCCACACTTGGCTAAGTCTATTGCCTTCTCTTCCCTTCCTTGGGATTGGAGGGACAAATGTACCACATATTTCGAATGGCAGCAGAGTAATGGATCAAAGGCTGATTGAGTAAAAGCCACTTGTGTCACTAAAGCTGTGAAACTGAGTGACATGAAGAAACTATTAAAGTTACCAGATCCCGGATGAGGCCCCTCTGTCATCCTGGCCACAGCACAAGCACAGTCTAGTCCCTTCCTTGTCAGTGAGGCCAAGGGTGTGCTTGAAAGGCCCAGGTGGCCATTGTAATCTAGGTCCTTTTGCTTTAAACAAATGTCTCCTCTTTAAACGACTTGACCAAACTTGCTACTTGTGCTTTTAGATTCACAGAATCAAGACCTTAATTAGCACAAATTTACATATTAAGAAACCAGATTAGGCAGGAAAGATAATCACTCTGAGGGAGCAAAGGTTTGGTCTGGGGCATTGGTTCAGGGTAAAGTCGGGGGACAATTGGGGGATGTAACTTGTTAATGGACCTCTCAAATATTCCTCTGATCCAGCTGTGCAGAGAATTAAGCAGAAAGATTGCTAGGGAGATGGGGGTAGGCTTCCCTGAAGAATGAGTCTTGGGGACATCTGGCCAATGCAGGCACCAGTTCACCCCCAGTGAGCCCAGTGGGTTGGGGTTTGGATCAGAGGTCCCCCGATGAGAGTTCAGTTCCCAGGCTTCCTGCTCCTGGCTCCTGGCTAGAGGATGTTTTAACACATTTTCACAGTATGAGCATCTGGCAAAGTGGAAGTGCTTAGAAAACCAATGACTTTCATTACACGGGTCACCCTGTGGCTGAACGCACGGGAGCGCATTCATTCTCTGGTCCAGTGGGACTGTTCCGTGAATGAGTGCATCTCCTGTGTGATTTCCAGAGCGCTGCAGCGAAGGGAAGAGAATAGTCCCCACTACAGCTCTGCCAGCTGAGCCAGGGCGCAAACACCGGCTTCCTGAAGCATCTACTTCTTCTCCAGGATACAGTCTTTGTTTGAAATGTGGAGTATCTTACACAAATAAAGTAATTTGAGGGTAAAGGCTGATCCATATCCAACAATGTGCCAGATCTGAGGGTCCCCTCTGCTCCTTTCCAGTTTTTGTTTCATTTCCTTCTTCTGGGTGACCTGAATTAAATCAGACTGGTTTAGCGTGGAAGGGGGGGTGCGGTAGACGCTAAGACTCTTTTTGCTTGTCCCAGCTCTGCATGAGTTCAGCCACAGGGTGGCCCATGCAACGGCAGCCTTTGGTTTTCTGAGCACTTCTGCTCTGCCAGATGTTCATGCTGTGAAACGTGCTGCGGAAACCTAACTCACATCGGAGTAGGGAAGCCACGCAGGGAGGGCTCCTCCCAGGTACCACTTGCGCTACCTGCATCCTCCAGCCGGAAGGGGGAAGACAGCCCCTTGGCAGGCAGTGAAGAGCAGCCCTCGCCTGTAGCCAATGAGAAGCCGCCACCGCCTCGGATTCTCATTTTCCTCCAATGAACTTCTGTTCAAAACGACCCCTCCCAACTTCCTCCCGCCCTCTATAAAAGAACGCTCTCCCGGTTTATTCTCCAGTCTTCCGCCCCTAGTTTGCTTCCGCTGGGTTGTCATTCCTCTGCTCTTCCCCCCAAAGCTCCGTTTTGCTGGCTGAATCGCTTACCCTTTTCTTTTAAAAGGCTGACAACACTATACACATTCATATATTTCATTTAATCCTCACACAATGCAGTAACAGAGAGATCTTTCCTGGATTTCCCTGATGAGGAAACAGGGTTAAAAATTTTACATACGTTTCCCCAGAACAACATTTTGAAATGAAGTCCTAACCGCGTGAGATGTTGCCTCCTACTTAACAGCGTTTCCTGTTACTCCATTCTTCTTCCTTCTATTAATTTTTTTTAAAATTATCTGCTAAGGTCAGGGCCAAATGCATGACATATATTAGCTCATCTCACCCTCTGAGATAGATGTTACCCCATATCTCAGATGAGGAAACTGAGGTTAAGTAACTTCCCATAAACTCCACCTTGGTGAGCTGCAAAGGTGGGATTGGAAGGCTCCAGAGCCCTGCCCTGCACCTCCCACTCTGCCAAGCACAGACACGGGATCAATTCTGACTTAGCCGCTCACTGGTTCTGTAAGCAAGAGCAATTCATGGTCACTTAAACCCAGGAAACGTTAGATTCTTCATCAGGCATAATAAGGTGGTAGACAAAAATCTAGCAAAAAGAACCAGCATTGAGGCATTGCTTAGAACAGCAACAATAAATTGAATAAAGAAACAAAACAAAAACGGGGGAGGTGGGGGGAGAGGGTATAGTTAGTGGTAGAGCGCGTGCTTAGCACACGTAAGGTCCTATGTTCAAACTCCAGCATTCCCATTAAAAAACCCAGAAAAACCAACCAACAAAAACCCCATCTGAAATGCCCACCGGAAGGTGATTTACTGCGGTGATGTAGTATATTCTATATGGTGAGATATGGTAAATTTAATTAATTAAATAAATGCATTTATTACATTTAATAATGAAATATGTGAAATAAAAGAAAATGAAATGTATTAAATGCCAACAGTAAAAGATGCTCCGAACGAAACTTAAGTGACAAAAAAGTATTTACAGAATGGCTTTTGGGGCGGGGGTTAAAACTATAATAATATCAAATCTTAAATATTACTATTTATATAAATACAAATAAGAAATATAATGTCATGGAAATATTCATTTTTTTCTAGGCAGTCAAAATATGATGATGGTATATAAGCATACCATATATAATGATCATATCATAATGATTATACACATATACACACATAGGCTCATCTGTAGTTTCCGATTTTTATATAATGAGCATTTCTCGTGGGAAAAAAAGAGAAATGATTAAAGGTCTTCTTAAGGGGCCTTGATTTTTGAGATGCTGGGCACACAGCATTCCGACCTATTTTCCCTCTGTAAGGGCAAGAGTGGAGGGAGAGGCCCCAGCAACACTGATGGGCTTCTGCCCCACTTCTGATGGCAGCACAGTTTTGGAAAGGCGAGGTAGGACTAACCCTGGCACAGCTGGCTGGGGAATCAGGCGGGGCTCCTAGTCTTACCTGCGTCAGGGGTTGGGGAGCAGACTCGGCTACAGCCCTTCCTGATGCACTGTTTGCCGGCTCCACAGTCCTGGTGTCTCCTGCACTGCTGCTCACAGAGGCCTGTCAGAGAGGATACATCTAAAGCTTAAGTCTCAGGAGCAGGTGTCAGGAGGGGCTGCAGCAAAGAACGAATGGAGCCCTACCTAAGAGTTAGCACCTGCATGTTATCACCCTGACAAATTATATAATGTACAAAATGTCCATTATGGAAAAAAAAGTTTACAATCTATCTATCTAGAACTTTACAGTTTAATGAGAGCTTTTGCAATCAAAACCATACTGAGGTATCATCTCACACTGGTCAGAATGGCCATCATTCAAAAGACCACAAATGATAATTGCTGGAGAGGCTGTGGAGAAAAAGGAATCCTTCTACGTTGTTGATGGGAATGTAACTTGGTGCAGCCACTATGGAGATTCCTTAAAAACTAAAAATAGAGTTATCATGTGATCCAGCAATCCCACTCCTGGGCATATATCTGGAAAAAACTATAATTCAAAAACAGATACATGCACCCCAATGTTCATAGCAGCACTATTTATAATAGCCAAGACATGGACGCAACCTAAATGTCCATGGACAAATGATTAGATAAAGAAGTTGTAATTTATATTTGGTTATAGTGTATGTGTGTGTGTATACATACACACACACACACACACACACACACACATATAGGAATACTACTTAGCCATAAAAAGAACGAAATAATGCCATTTGCAGCAACAAGAATGGGCCTAGAGAGTGTCATACTAAGTGAAGTAAGTCAGATGGAGAAAAACAAATACCATACAATATCACTTATATGTGGAACCTAAAAGGATGACCCAAATGAATTTATTTACAAAACAGAAACCAATGCGCAGACACAGAAAACAAACTTTGGTAATACCAAAGTGGAAGTGGGGAGTGGTAAATTAGGAGTTTGGGATTTGCAGGTGCTAAGTACTGTATATAAAATAGATAAACAACAAGGTCCTACTGTATAGCACAGGGAACAATATTCAATAGCTTATAATAACCTATAATGAAAAAGAATATGAAAAGGAATATACACATGTATAACTGAATCACTATGCTGCAGACCAAAAACTAACATTGTAAATCAACTATATACGTCAATAAAAAATTTTTTAATTAAAAAAAAAGGATGCGTTAACAATGTATATGACATAACAAAGATAATATTATTCTGAGATGTTGACCTGACATATCTTTTGTTCCTAGTTCTTCCTAGTTCCTGGCTGCCCCATGGCCTCACCAACCCTTTGAGCTAATGGCAGCCCCTGCTTCGTGGGGCGGGGGGACACACCAGACTGGAATAAAGAAGCCAGGGCTCGGCAGTTAGTTTCAAAGTAGACTTTGCTGAATTAGACAACAGTTTCTCCTGAGAGAGAAAAGGTTTTCTAAATTTCAGAAGCAACTCTTTACATATACAGGGCTTAGAGATCTGAGCAGAGAGTAGATACAGGTCATGATACGAGTTCTCATCCCATAGAAAAGGGGAAAGTTAATAAAGAAGATGGGGTAGGGAAGGGGTGGGGGAAGGAAGGAAGGAAGGAAGGAGAGGACAGGGAGGAAGACAGAGAGGGAGGGAGAGAGGGGAGAGGAAAAGGGGAGAAAATATTTATGAAAACAAATATTCATAACCTTGACCTTTTCACTCCCTGGAAATTTTTTCTAAAGAAAACCTTTCCACTGATGGACAAACATCTAAAATCACCTTCATTACAGTAACCTGCGAAACAGCAAAATATGTCGAGCACATAAAGTGGCCACCAGAAGGGTACTAATAAATGAACTGTAGTAAAGTTATTCATCGGCAAATCACGTAATCCAAAAAGAATGAGATGTATTTGTGTTGACACGGAAAGCCGCCCACAACTAACATTAAACTGTAAGAGATGTATGTTATAGACAATAGGATACTTTATACAAGGGACTAGGATATGTGTTAACTTACGCAAATGGAGGCCTTGTGCTAATTTCATTATGCTTCACAGACAGACCCACGCTCTCCCACTCATTAGCTATGTGGCCACAGGTAACTCATTTCACTGCAGTTAAGCCTTGGTTTCTTCATCGGTGTAACACTGATATCTGTTATTACTCTTAACTCTGAGATTTAAAAGCAATCATCTCAGAACCTGCCTGGCAAATAGCAGGAGCTCAGAACTTGATGTTTCTTCCCACAGTGACTATGTATCTTTCAGGGAATCAGTTAATGCGTGAGGTTGGTAAATCTTTCTAGCCACCAAATATTGCCAACTAAGGACACGCTGCTATTTTTCAAACACACATGGAACTTGCTGTACCCAAGAAAGTACAAAGCAGTTTCACAGCATCACTGAGTCATCTGGATATTCAACCATCATGTGGATTGCCTGAGTTTTTTTTACATAATTACATTATATCGTCCTCATGGGGCAATTTTGAAACTATGAATTAAAACACTGAAAGGTGTACAGGGCTGTGGGTTTGACTGGAGGCTTGTTATTTGTCCTGCAGACAGAAACCAAGGTACTAAATATGGTGAGGCTTGGACTCAATTGGAGATTTTTGGATGCTAGAGATCCTGGTTTTTCACAATCCCTTGAGGGTGACGCTTCATGTTGATGAAGGACATCTTCAGACATGGGCCATACCAGGCTCCCGTGCTCCCGGGGATTTTTTCCTACCATTTGGTGAGCACTAGTATTGTACCAGCTTTAAGCAAGTGACTCACATCTGTGATCTCATGCATTTGTCACAAGAGCCCTAGGAGGAAGGCATTCTTCATCTGCATTTACAGAAACCGAGGCTCGGGGAGCTTGAATGACTTTCCCGAGACCACAGAGATAGAAAAAAGTGGACATAGAATCTGAACTAAGTCTGGTTCCAATGAAAGATTTGAAAAGAAGTGTCCTCGTTACAGCTGTCAAGTCTCTGTGGTGCATTTGGGTTCGCAAACCGGGACAGTGATGACAGCCCCAGGAATAGCTCCTTCCCTCAGGCCTTCTCAGGATGGGGCTGGTGCATCCTGACCGGGGGACGGGAGGCGAGTGGTGGAGGAGGTCTGGGCAGCCAGCCAGAGAGGGGGAACCCCACTGGGACAGGGCCTGCCCGCTCCAAGGGGGGCTTTCCAAAAAAAGAACAACAGAACACACCATATGCAAAGATGCTGGGTTGTTTATCCTTAAAGTTTCCGTGCCTGGAGGAAATGAATGAAGAAAGAAGAAGAAGTGGGCAAATGGTGACTCTTCAAGGGTACGTCACGCGGGGAGGCCTTCTGGTGTGGTCGAAAGTGTTCTGGGTTTTTTTTTTCAAGTAAAGGCGACCAGCTTTGCCATTTATCGACAGATTCCGTCACCTTTCTGAGCCCTGATTCTTGTGTCTATGAAATGAGCATGATACTATAACTTCAAAACGATGTAACAAGGAACCAAAGCACTCATAATTCTACCTCATCCACTTTAACCAAGGCTGCCATGTATGGTTTTACAGGGTGTGCACTGCACCATTATGTCCAGTGACAGGATGAGCAGAGCCATAACCCATCCCGGCTTCATTCCTGAGGTCCCATAGCCAGGCACTGCCTCCACCCAGAGGGAGGGGCACCTTTTCCAGGATGGATTAAGGTGTTTGTTTACCAAACTGAGCACCCACAGGACTGTCCAGTTTAAGGGCCCTTTATCTAATTCTCACAAGAGTGTCATTTGAGCTAGTGATGGTCTCCACTCAGCTTGCCAGACATTCTGCATTCCCACACAGGCAGCCCCCATGGAAATTTCTCCCCCCTGTAGATTTGAGGCTATGGTTTTCCTGTCTGGAACCCAGCTACCCCTTAGTACAAATTGGGAGACAACTATAGGCATGAAAATCAAATGGGACTCTGTTTGCTCTGGGAATAGGGCAGAGATAAACCCTGGCAGGGATGAGGGAAAGGGAAAAAATCTTTGATTCATGCCTTTAAGAGAAGGTGCCTTTGACAACCTCTTGATCTTTTCTGCGTTCCTGGCTGCCACTGAGATTTTAAAGAATAACAGAATTTGGAAGGTCTGATTCTCCAACTCTAGTCCATATGACAAGCACCTAGAGGAGCCGGAGTTGGGACCCATAGCTGGGGAGGACTAGGGTGCTATGGGTAGCCCAAACTCTTGGGGACCAGTTTCCTAAGCTTTGTACATGGCAGGCAGAACCAGGCCACGAGGTTAATGTGTGTGGTTAGCAAGTCTGTGTGTAGCTCGTATATTGTCCATAAAGTGAATAAATATTGTGCTACTCTTTTCAAATATAAGCACAGACTGCTGTAAATAATAACATAAACTTCCATTTAATGGCATTACTGAATCCATGAGGCACGTTGTCTTGAGGCACATTGGATACTAAAAGCTCAGCTATCTTATGAGCATCTTAGTGTTTCTGATGTTTTAAAAGGGTCCTCATGGGGCAATTTGGAAATAGGTATCTAAAGCTTTAAAAATAGGCAAGGCCTTGCATTTCCCCAAAGGCTTGTCTATAGGCCCACAGAGAGGAGACCCAAGCTCCCCCAGCCAGTAAGTGGTAGAGCCTAAAGCCAAGAGGATGTCTGTCTGTCTGTCTCCAGACCCCAGGATCTTCACCTCCACATGATGCTGGTGCCCTCTCCTGACCCAGGCACCCTCAGGGAAGGCGCATAGCTGGCACCAGCCGCCCTCTTGTTTCTTGGCCACCATTAATTGAGCATTTGCTGTGTGCCAGGCACTAGGCTGAGTGTTTCGCACGACTTTGTGTAACAACTCTGTGAGGTAGGAACTCTCATCCCATTTCAGGATGAATAACATGCACACAACTTGGAGCTAAGAAGTGGAGGGGCCAGGGTCTGAATTGGATCTGGGCAACTCCAAAGCCCCTCATTATGCTCTGTTGCTGCTGAGCCTCTGTGAGCCAGCAGCCGTGCCCTTCTGCCCATCAGGACAATGACAACCACCCCAGGAGAAGCTGCCCCCATCAGAAGCCCCCTGGTCTCCTGCCCCAGCTCCTCAGGGTGGGGCTGGGTAAGTCGGGGTGGGGCGGGGTGTCACTGGGAAAGCCCTGTCAGCCAGCCAGAGATGGGGAAACCCCACTGGGACAGAGATGGCTTGTTCCAGTGACACTTTGCAGAGAATAGGAAAGGTTGCGTCTGATGGAAGCAGACGTCCTAGTGGGGAGCGGGGCGAGAGAATGAATCAGTGTGGCCAGCAGCAGCCCTACCAGGACACACACTTGTGCCCAGCCTGTGCAAAGACATGAGGTGTTTTTTCTTCTTATAGTTTAAATGTGGAGGAAAAGCTAGAGCAGTATCACTTCTTGGGGAGGTAGCAGGGTGTGCTGGGAAGTGCTCTGGCTTTGGATGGGAAGAGACCAGCTTCGGCATTGATTAATGGCCTGATTTGGGATAAGCACCTACTCTCTCAGAGCCAGTTTCCAAGCATCTGAAATATAAGTAATAATGTTTACCTCGAAAAGGCGCTATGAAGATTAAATGCAGAAGGGTGAGATTTGCAGACACTTCTACCTTATCAGCTCTTTGTTAGTATTGCCATGTAGAATTGAATAGGTCATGTACTGACAGTGACAGCCAGCAGGTGGCGCCATGGTGGCTAAAGCCAGAGATTAGCTCCTGAGCCAGACACTCGTTCTGCTCACTCCCTCTCCCCGCAGGAGAGGACACCCATCTTTAGTGCACACTGGGGCACTGTTAAGGCACCTCTTGGTGTCACTGTTTGCAGTGTGACCCAAGTGACTTAAGAAAGGGTAGAGAGGAATCACGGGAAGGTAAGCAAAAGAAAAAATTACTTGGTTCATTCTTCAATTTCCTCATCTGTAAAGTGGGGGTAAGATGAACACCTGTATCTTTCGTTCCTAAAGTTCTCAAGACCAAAAATTAATGTATTTTGGAAAGACCTGGCACAGAGAGGTTGCCAAATATGTGTTTTTCACCCTTTTCCCACTTTAGGGGATGCCAACTTATTGCAAAGGAGTATTGAAACCTTCTCTAAAAGCAAGTAACTATTTCATAAGCATAACTGAAGTTGTTTTAAAATTGTATGTAATTTAAAATCATAAACTCATATGAAATCGTTACCATTGTCAAATAGTGAAAAATTAAAATGTAGCCAGCATTTTGAAGTTTATCAAACTTTTTGACATACACAATACAACCGCACAAAAGCAAATTGGTAAAGTATCTTTAGATTTAAAAAAAATGCCCTTTGAGTCAGCAATACCATTTCTAGGAATGCTTCCTAAGAAAATAATCAAATTATACATGGAAAGATTTTGTTCCAAGGGAATGCTTTGATAGCAAAACAAAAGAGAAGTTTAAAAATCCCTTTGTCAAGAATAAGCAAACAAAATGTGATACACCCACTATGAAAATGCTTTGAAACCTCTGAAAAAAGAATAAAGTTTTAGAAATATGTCCACACTCATAGAAAGCTATTTGCTACATATTATTGAGTGTAAAAAGAAAAGTTTAAAAATGTTTATGGAGTGTGATGCTGTGACTATTTGGCACCATACTCCCTGAATATATATGTGGAAGGATATGAATAAAACATGTAACTGGTAATGAGATTATGGGCACATTTTGCCATCGATTTGTTCTGTAGTTCCTGACTTTTCTGTAATGAGTATGTATTCCTTGAGAAAAATGAAATGAAATTTTTTCCAGGATTCTCATACTTGAAAATGTTGGAGTAAAGGGTCTCATGACCAACCTTTCCCTCAGAGGGCAAGAACAGAGGGAGATTTTCAGGTATTTCGGTATGTTTCTCTCACACTTCTGGGCAACCACACAATTGTGAAAGTTCAGATAATGCCAAGTTCCTAATTCTCCCTGGACAGGCTGGGGTAGAGGAAGTCAAGTCTCACCTGTTCTAGCAGTGTAGGAGCAGATGTGCCCACAGCCCTTCCTGATGCACTGTTTCCCCCTTCCACAGTCCTTGTCTTCTCTGCACTGATGCTCACAGATGCCTGACAAGAGGAAAGACTCGATTAAAAGCTTTGAAGTCTTACAATTAGAAAATAAATATTTTAATTGCCTTGACAATATTATTCAAAAACCATCCATAACCTAATAAATCTAGCAAATTATATGTGGAAAACACTACATGATATTACTAAGGAAAATTTTTAAACATCTTAATACATGGAGAGATATGCCATATTCATGGATGAGAAGACACACTGTTATAAAGATGTTGGTTTCCCCAAACTGAAATTTAATAACAATCCCAGTCAAAATCTTAGAAGGATTTTTTCACAAAAATGGACAAGCTGATTCTAAAACTTTATTTGAAAGTTCCAAAAGTCAACAAAAAATCAAGACAACTTTAAAAAAAGTTGCAGGACTTAAGTGTGGTTGGATTAACTGGATTGGCCATATGAAAAAAAGGAACGTTGTCTCCTATCTCACACCACACAACAAAATCTGTTCCAAATGGACCACAGACTTAAGTGAGAGGTAAAGCAGTAAAGCTTCTAGAAGATACTATAGTAAATAGCTCCATGATCTTGGGATAGGCAAATATTTCTTAAATATTACAGAAATATTATTGACCACCAAAACTGATAGATACATGGAATCTCATGAAAACTAGGAATTTTCTTCATTGAATGACATCATTAACAGAGTGAAAAGGAAAGCTACGTTGGGAGAAAAAAATGTTTACAATACATATATACAATAAATGACTTGTATCCAGAATCTCTTACAAATCAATAGGAGCAATACCAATAATCTAATAGAAAAGTGGGCGAAAGAATCAAACAGATAATTCACAAAAAAGAAAGAAGTTACTAAGAATAATATCAAGTTCTGGGAAGGTGTCTTTATTTCTTTATTTTATTTTTTCTGGGAAGGTGGTTTTAAGGTGAGGAAGTCAGGCGGGGCTCTCCCCCTTACCGCTGTCCTCGCTTTCCTCGGCTCGTGAGCAGACGTGGCCACACCCATTGCTGATGCACCGTTCTCCTGCCCCACAGTCCTGGTCTCCCCGGCACTCCACCACACAGATCCCTTCATCATTAGAAAAAGACTTGGTTGAGACGCTTAAATGAAACAAACACTTATAACTGACCCTGACCTGATAATAGCAGTTTGCATTTCGATGTAGTACTTCACTGTTTAAACTCCATCTCACATAGGTGCTCACCTGACTCCTCCAACAAAGAAGATATAAAGTATTTGCACGGATCTCTGGAGTATTTCCTTAGGACTGGAGTATTTGTAGGAAGGAAAGCTGCAAAGTAGGTAGGTTCACGGTAACCCAAGTGGGCTTTAACCAGTAGGTTTTGTCATTTGTATTTCACAGATGAGGACATTGAGAGGTTGTCTGGTCAATGGCAGAGCTGGGATTTGAATTCAGGGCTATTTGCCTCTAAAGCATGCGTCCCTTTTGCTATACATCTCAGTGAAATTAACCTTGAACACAGAGTTGAATCCCCAAAGGTCAAGAAGTTTTTTCTGATGGAAACTGAGAATTTCGTGGATTCTAACCCCTAAAAAAGGTCTCAGTGTGGTTTCTTGATACGAAGAGAGACAGAGTTCAAAGATGGAGAAAGGCCCTGGAATCTGCATTGAAGCCCTTGGCAAAAGAGCAACACCTGTAGCAACAATCACATCACCACCACCAAGAGAAAGCGCACAGTGGGTCCAGCCACGTGGTCGACCTGCTTCTGTCACTATCACTATCCAACTCTCTCAGTCTCACTTTTATCACCTGCAGCTGGGGTTGTCTTGTGCATGGCTTGTGGAAGTGAAAAGAGCCTAGACTAGGTCAGTGACTCCCAGTGTGGCTGATTATCAGAATCACTGCAGAGCTTTGAAAAGAACTGGAAGAGTAGAAGCTGGTCCAGACCTGATTACTCAGACTCTCCAGGGTGGAGCTTATAAATGTGAATTTTACTGAGTGCCCCAGATGATGCTGATGCAGAGCTGGACCAGAGAATCTCCGAGAGTCAGTGTGGCTCTGACATTTCAGGATTCCCTATGCTGTCGCCAATTTGTGGAGAAATACTGGGGAGCATAACTCTCAGTATTCAACCATTCATTCATACATTCATCATTCATTTACTCATTTATTCATTCCCTTGTCCATAATATATTAACTTGTTCTAAAAAAAAAAAAAAGTACCTCAATGTGTAAGAGACAGGTTTTGCCTGGACTTACCAGCCGCCTGGAGCTCTTTGCTGAGGGTGAGGAGGACTGCAAAGAGGAAGAGGCCGCCCACCTTCATGTTGCCAGTTGAGCTACTTCGTCTGGCGATGAAGCAGCAAGGCTAAAGAAGCTGAGATTTATATCCTCCTGGACAGCGGGCCAGGCCAGACTCCAAGGCCACCATCAGCGTGTAGGAATGCTGAATCTTGGCCAAGCAGCTGACTTTGCTGGCGTAAAAAAAAAAACAAAAAAAAACCACCAAGCATGTGTGGTGTTGTGCAATGTTAGTTTTCCAAACAAATTCTTGGAGACAAGGGGAATATCTTGTTAGTGTATTAAGAAATTTATCAGATGAGACAGAGAGAATGAGAGAAGATATAGACAGACAGACAGAAAGACAGACAGGTAGAAGGGATAACTCAAGAACCCTTGTGCAGGGTGGAGGGTATAGCTCAGTGGTAGGCTGCATGCCTAGCATGTACAAGTCCTGAGTTCAATCCCCAGTACCTCTATTTTTTAAGTTAAATAAAAAAACAAACAAACAAACAAACAAACATAATTACCTCCCCCAACAAAAAAAATGAATAAACTTCAAAAGATAAAAAATTTTTTAAAAAGGACACCTGTGCAAGGTGCTCAGTTCAGCATCACATCTGAGGTGCAACAAGGTTAAATATGTGCCAGAGCTACTAAATGGGATTTCAAATTCAGATGTTTTGGGCTTTTTATTTCATGACTGTTTTTCTATAATGCTTTACCTGTGCACCAGGACCTAGGTCTTAAATACTGTTAAGGGGCACATCTGTTCTCCCTCTCCCCTAAGGCAGGGCTAAATATTTGTTCATTTACATGCATGTATACGTAGCTGTCCATGAGTAGATAGACGCAGGAAAATGCAGAGAAATTCTGGATCACGTATCAGATAATAACAACACTTACTACCCCTTAGGAATAACAGAGTGAGTCGGAGGCTTTAGGGAGTCAAGGGTTTTTTAGACTCAACTGAGGTAAGACTAAAGTAAGGGGAAGGCATTCATGTATTATTTATACAATTAAAAATTAACAAAAGAAATAGATCAACAACAAGTTTCTACTGTATAGCACAGGGAACTATATTCAATATCTTGTAGTAACCTAAATGAAAAAGAATCTGAAAACGAATATATGTATGCACATGTGTGACTAAACTATGCTGTACACCAGAAATTGACACAACATTGTAAACTGACTATACTTCAATTAAAAAATAAAAGAACAAAAGACAAAAAAAGTCTCAACTCCTGGAACACACACACACACACACAAACAAATTAACAAAAGAAAGAAAACCCCACTAAAATACAGAGACTAGATGGGAGAGTTGCACAGACAGAGCAGGAAATGCAGTCAGGAGGGCTCACTGAACATATCATGCTGCAGGATAGATGAACAGATTGTCCAATCTGTTTCCCATCCCCTGAATCCCCTCCAAACTATCTGATATTCTATTTTTCTCCCCCACAGGACTTGAGAATCTACCAACTGGTGCTCGTCTTGGTGCTGGAGAGAGATAAGCAAACTTGTCCCTGGATGTACCTGGATGCTTCCCGCTGGGAAACATTGAAAGGCGTTTACTTTCACTTCCTACCTTCACAAATTCAAAGAAGGTAAAACTAAAATCCTTCTTATGTAATCAGTCCGAAGAACAGCTGAGCCAGCTCTCATGTGTAAACAAGCTTTGATTTTTCCCTCATGTCCCAGTTGTCTGGTATGGAATGTACCGCACACTGGGGTCAGTATGTCTCAACCTTGTCAAGAGCCTCTAGGGAGAGGAGTTAAAATCCAAATGGTCTTTCCAATTAGTCACATGGTTGTAAATCAGTGCAAACTCCTCTCTCTTTCAGTTTCTTTCTCTCTCTCTTTCTTTTTTTTTTTTTAACTTTCTTCCTCATCTTTCTAACCTCTTGCCAATACCCTGAAATACCCTAACTCTGATCTCTTTTAATAGAATCCGCTGGCAAAACCTGGCTATTGGAGGCACCCTCAACTATCCAGGTTATCCTTCCCTGCACCTAAGTACCACCCAAGAGGAATGGGTTTCCACCACAGATTCATGACCAACAGTTTCATTGAGGACTTCAACACTGCCCTGCAATTTTAGTACAATTTCAACATAAGCTCCCACTCTTTGTAAGGACTAATGCAAACCTCATCCATGCTCCTCAGACCTCAGTCTGTTTCAGTCCCTCACACTCAGAAGATGACCTTGCCTCCTACTTTACAGAGAAAATATTTAAACTCCTATTTCAGTGTCTTTAATAGATAGAAGGCTAGTCAGGTTATCTAGTTCATCTTGAGTTAGCTTTGGTGGGGTATCAATCTGGGTCCGACCAGGAGAAAGACACCACACTGTAATTTGAATGGGGTAAATTTAATATAAAGAATGATTAACTACCACAGGGATTAGAGTAACAGGGGACTGACTAGTAAGGAGAAAAGAGAATTCTAAAGAGTATCAGAGTGGCAGATATAAGGAACAGCCACTAACCCTGGGACTGAGATAGAGAGCCCCTCTCCCAACTCCTTGCCCCCTCAGCTGAGATCCAGAACCTGTTGGAGAAGGCATGATCAGGTTCATGGAATTGCTGTCACGATGGTGTTGCACCAGCAGAACTTGCTAGAAATCCACCCTCAAGGGTGCCGGGGAAAGCTATTCACCAGTAGGTGTCTCAAAAGAGGCACTTGTCTATAAGGCTGCCCAAGACGGTTGTCAAGGGAAGATCCGGGCTGCTGGGTGACTGGCTGCCAAGCACAGCAGGAGCTGAGCACCGGGAGGGACCACCTGCATGGCAGGGGCCGGAGGCTCTCTGCTACAAAGCCGTGGAGGAAGCTGCTGGCCACCATGTACCGCAGGAGCTGAGCACTGCAAAAACTACACGAGCTGCAGGAAGCAAAGCTCTTCCTCATAAAGTGTCTCTCCAAGTCCAGTGTTGTCCGGCTGAGAGAAGAATATTGGAAGGACGCAGATCTGTTTTCACAGAACAGTCTAAAAGGCTGAAATGGGAGCCGAGAGAAAAAAAATCAATAACTAATACAGATAGCTTGTGTCTTTTGAGGAATTTAGCTATTTCACTGAAGTTGTCAAATTTATTGCAAAGACAATACAAAGAGTTTCTATATACCTCTCACCAATCTCTTTTTTTTTAAGTCCTTTGAGGGGGGTGGAATTAGATTTTATTTATTTACTTTTAATGGAGGTACTAGGAATTGAACCCAGGGCCTCACACACGCTAAGCATATGTTCTACCAATGAGCTATACCCTCCCCAGCTTTAGAAAATATTTTTGGGGGAGGAGGTATTTAGCTTTATGTATTTATGTATCTATGGAGGTGTTGGGGATTGAACCCAGGACCTCGTACATGCTGAGCACACACTCTACCACTGAGCTATTACCCCTCCCCCACAACCAGTCTCCCATTGTTAACATCGTACATAACCAGGGTACTTTAGTCAAAACAAAGAAAGTCAATATTGGCACATTACAGTGAGCCAAAGTACAGAATTTATTTGACTTTCACTAGTTTTTCCAGTAATATCTGTTTTCTCTTCCAGGATCCATTCCCGGAAACCACACTGCGTTTACTTGTTACCTCTCCTTACTCCCCTCCGCTATGTGGCATCGCCCTAGATTCCTCTGGAGCCAGGACAGAGAGGTCTGATTTCAGATCTTACTTAATGTGCTAACTGGCCGGGTGACCATTCAAAGTTAAATCTTATGAGTGCCTGGCTAGGTGAATATTATTTCCTTTTCATTTAGGAAATTGGTTTCTCCGTTAAAGTATTTCTTTTTTTTTTTCCCATTAAAATATTTCTTAACGCTCTCTCTTATGGCCTATAGACCTCCTTCTCCTCCAGAGCAGCGACCCTACAGAACTCCAAGTCATTATATGCCCTACGGATCTGTAGAACCTAAACTCACCCATGTTGGAGTATGTGGGAACTGAAATCCTCAGAAATCGAGCATTCATTGTCAGTTCCCATCCAGTGCTGTGGTCCCAGGAGTAGAGAGGACTTTTCTGGGATGAGTCACTGGGTCAGGAAGGAGGGATCTTATCAATCACTCGCTAGCACCAGAGGTGCTGTTCTAGAATACATATTTGGTCATCATACTTCCCCGGATTGACTATCCCGGATGAATTCCTATCCATTTTGCTTGGTGTGACAAGTCCCTCCAGAATTGGCCTGGAGCTACCTTGAAAGCCCCTCCTATCCCACCATCCCAGCACCCCTCCTCCCCATGCTCCAGCCCCCTGCCCCTCCCATTCCCAAGGCCGCCTGCACGCTGGTCCTGCCTGGATGGTTCACCTGGCTCCCCCTCCACTTGGTGATCTTTGTCTCGCCTCTCAGTTTCCAACGCACATAGTTCATACCACCTAAAAATGTCCCCACCCCTGGGCAAGAACTCATAATTGCCCCTTATGCTCCTGCAGAACTTTGCACAAATCTCTGCCACAGCCTCAGGCAGGTTGTATTAGAATTACTCGTATGGGTCTGTCTTGCTGAACTTGCCTTATACATGTTCTTATTCCATCACCAAGCACAGTTCCTTGATGTGAACCAGCAATCAAGAAATGCTGTCTTTATTTTTCACTCCCCATCCTTTACCCCAAAGAGGCAGAAGTCACCTCGCTCAAGGATTTTTGATCAGTGTTTGATCAGCCCTGGGACAACGTGACTCTGGGAATTCAGGAGCCTGATGGAGGGTCTCAGCCTAGTGGCTGGAAGTAGCCATTGCTTTCCCTGGGAGTTCTTTATCCTTTCCATGTCCTGTGTTAGGTAGAGCGATTCCAGTTCTCCTGTCCTTTGCAACCAACCTGCTTCTGTGTGCAGAGGGCACGTGGGAGTTTGTTTTGCCTGAGAAGAGAAGAGGGGCCTGTCCTCCTTCGATAAGTAGGTCACAGTTTCCTTACACTCACAGCTTACGTCATCGCTGCAGCATTTCTGACCTGTGGGATGATCGCCATCCTCAGTGCCTAGTACAAAGCAGGCCCTATAGGTCCTGTCTGGCCCTTCTGGGCAGGTCTTGATCTTGGTGTCCCTCTAACACACTATGATTGTTTTAGGGTCAAAGCTTAAAAGAAACTCACACTTCCTCGTGGGAGGAGACCCGCCCCGTTCTGTCCCTAACCACT